GGGGGGGGCAGGAAGGCCAGCTCCCCCAATTAAGCTGCATGTTTTTGGCAGCCATGAAGCCTGAAGTTAGACTAAAGCATTTCCAGGCAGAAGCCTCCTCCTTCCTTCGAGAGCCTGCGAGGCACAGTTCAGCTATTCTCCTTTGGCTTTTTGCTCTGCCTTTACAGATGTTTTTGCTGCAAAGAAAAATACAAAGGTTAAAAAAAAACAACAAAGCAGGGGTGGACACCCCCGTTCCCAATCCAGAGAACAAGGCAGGTCAAAAGTGTGGTGAAAAGCCCTGTCCGGAGGGGCTCCCAGCCTTGGGTCGCAGGCTGCAGAACGTGAACGTGAAACATTTCACACTTTTGGGTCCTTCTGTGGGTCGCTCCTAGTAATAATGGTCCTGCCAGGCCTGCAAATTTCTTTTGATTTGCCAGCTGGTTTGGAAAGAAAAGTTGCTCTTTGCACCATCTACAGATGCTACTGACTGGAATTCTGGACCATGTTCAAGAATCAGCGAAGAAGTTCTGCTCTGGTCAAGAACCAGTGAAGTATTTGGACTTTAGCATCCTCAGTTTCCCCATCACTCTTGGGGCGTGTGTTTATGTCCCTCATCCACTTTCCTCTGCTTCATTTGCTCCCACTCTCTGCCGGTCTGAGAGTTATTCTGGCCTCTTTTCTTTTCTTTTCTTTTCTTTTCTTTTCTTTTCTTTCCAGAGCCGGGAAGTGAGGGATGATGAAGTGCTGGAGAATGCCCTCGGTGCCCCAGACTCCGTGGGGAACCCTTCTTCCTGCCCTGCTTCCCACCCTCGGCTGCCCTTCTTCCTGGGCCCAGCCTCCTGCCTGGCGGCTTCCCCTTTTTCTCGGCCCAGAGATGCAACCAAGCCTCCCGGGGATGATGGATGTACCTATAGCGGAAGTGAGGAAGCAGGCCACCCGCATTAAGCAACCATTTGTAGGCTCCTGAGGAGAGGTTAAGGGCTGGGGGCACAGCTCCCTTTGGGGCAGCTCTGCGGTTGTGGCCCCGTGTCATTGTCCGCCACCATAATTAAGTTGTCCTGCCAGGCAGTGCCTGTCTGAACTACAAGGTCCATCTGCCCTGGTCAAGGGGGGAAAGGGGTTGCCTAATTCCAAGCAGCAGGAACCAGGAGCCCCGTCTGGACGGATGAAAAGCCCCTGCCACCGTCCGGTGCCTCGGCTGGGAGTCAGGGAGTCCGCCAGGCCACCGGCTCAGCCTCCGGCCGCTTCTCTTGCCCCAGAGTGGACTGTGCAGCCGGACGGAGGGCCTGCCCACCCGCCTGCCCTGTGGTGTTGCACAGGAGCCAGGTCTGATGACAGTATGCCACGGGGAGACCCATGAAGCAGGCGGCTGCCCTCACGGGGCCCTCCCTGCCATCCGACAAAACATCTGGATGAAGTTGCCGCAGAGAGGGTCATGACCAGACAATTGCGCAAAGGGACACACCTTGGAACGGCCCACCTTAACTAATGATTCCGCCACACTGATTCAAGAACAGATTCTGAACCACCGATGGCCCAAAATTTCCCTGGACAGCATCTGCAAAGACCCCCCACTTGGTCGCAGGGAAGCTCCACAACTCCACAACCCCTCGTCCCCAGGGACCCCTGCCC